TGTTGAATTTGTATGGTGACAACTCTGACCTCCAGCGTTTGATCTTTTTTTTATTTTTCACCTTCTTTTTTTATTAGCATGGATAAAAGCAGCAGAAAATGTATGTGTAATTAGTTTAAAATGATTACTGAGAAGGAAACGCTTCCATTTACGTATGGATTCCACTATGACATACACTTCTTTTTCAATCGCAGAAGGGTGTAGCTTGTTTAGCGATAGGTTACGCGAAAAGAACGCTACTGGTCGGCCATTGTGGTTCAGTGGAGCAGCAATTGTGACGTCTGAAGCATCATTCTCAACAATAAGTGGGTATCATATTGGACAGTCGCGATTGTGACTTTCACAAGTTGTTCCTTAAGTGCTTCAAATATCTCGAGTACTCCTGATGGTAGAGGGAAAGCTTTGTTGTGAACAAGCGGAAGGATTTCGTCTGAAAAATGGGATATCTATTGTGAATAGTATGCGAAAAATCCTACGGTTCGTTGCCGTGACTTTATATCGTGTAGTGGAACTATGTTAAGCAGGGTTTTTAGAAGATCTGGATCCGGTCTGATGTTACCTTTGAACACTTATAACCAAGAAGCTTGATTTGTGGAGAAGCGATGACGCTCCTTGCTTCACTGAAGGTTAGTCCATAGTTTCTGGCAACGTCAAAGAATTTTCGGACGTTTGAATCGTAATCTGTGAGGCCGTTTCCACAAATGGTAATATTGTCTACGTAGACGAAGGTATTCTTCAGGTGCTCGCGCGTCATTATGTTATCAATGGTTCGGTGGAAGCACGCAACTCCGTTGGTGGCAGCAAACAGGATGCTATAGAATTGATACTAACGTCCACAAGCTCCGAAAGTAGTGTATGGTCTTTCATCTGCCCGGATAGGTATCTGGCGATAAGAGTTCTTAAGACCAAGAGTGCTGTGTCGTAGTTATCAATGTGCTCAATCCTCTCATCTATCCTAGATGACGGATAGGCATCGAGTGGAGTGTATTTGTTGATAGTGTGGCTATAATTAACAACCATTAGCCTTTTGTGATTTTCAGTGGCTACCACCAGGATTTGGGTTCACCGAAGCGAGGAAGAGGGCTCAATTACTCCATCAGACAAAAGATGGCGAATCTCTTCCCGAATAAATCTTTCATTAACTTCTGTGTGTCGACGAAATTTTGTTGCGATTGGTTTGCAGTCTTGAGTTAGATAGAGGGACAAGCGAGGAGCTTTGACGCAAGCGGACACAGTACGATGAACTGGGAGTTTCAACGTCCGCTGTTTTAGTGGGACTGTACGGAGTTTCGCAAACCTCAGTGGCGGCGGTAAATCAGATCTTCGGAGGGTTTTTGGTAAGATAAAAGCTGTCTTTCAGCCAATTCCAAAGATCTCGCTTGATCAAACGCAGTTTGAAAAATCAAGGTCTTCTGTTCAAACATTCTCGGTCGAGTATGATTTGGTGAAAGGCCACTAATAAAGCCGTCTTTGACGACGTCACCGTGGTATTGCTCTGTCGTAATTGCTTTAAAATTGTAGTCTTTAGCTAAAGATTTCAGCTTCTGGGCGAATTGATCGAGGGTTTGTCCACCCTCTTGTCTGCAGGTCGATAGAAGGTGGCGAGCGAAGATTTTTTAGGTTTTGAATAGAGATCTTTCCGTAATTTAATAGCATCTTCGTAAGTGGTACATTCACTATTGCATTCCCAAAGGGTCGAAGAGGCATACGTAGTCAGAACACTCAATTTGTTCGGCTTAAAACTTTCGATGATGGTCATTAAGTTCTCGAACGTGCAAAACCAATGATTTCACTGTTTGGGGGCGTCTGGAGCATTCGGAGCCACATCAAATCGTTCTGTTTTGAGGAATCGGTCAATTCTAGAGTTTCAAGATGAATAAATTGTCGGAATCGGAATAGATAGAACCGTTCGATTGAGAAAGCATGAGCCAAACAGACGAGTCAGAATTTATGAGTACCCTAGAATTGGGCTTTATTCCTCTTACAACTGACGCATTAGAACTAAAAAATAAAAACAAAGTAGTAGGAGAGAAATAGAAAATGGTCAGAGTAACGTTAGCATGACACTACGCTCACATGTGACTTAAACACCAAAATTATTTAACTTCCTTCCGCTAATGGCCAATTGCAATGTGCTTGTCATTAAGTAC